ATGCTTATCAGTATCTGCTTTCACACTCCAACGATTTCATTTTCAGTTTTCCAATTCGTTGACACCCTACAGTATTCTTTGTCCGATGAATATATCTCTGAACTAAAATTACGTCTATAAAGTTGAAAAATCAGAGGTTATGGCAGTACATCCAGAACGAAAAAAAATCATTTTAAGAGAAAAAAAGCACATTCCTTTCTTTTGTAGAGTACGATTCGAAATAAGTGTTGCAGTATACAAAGGGAAACTTGGACTACTCTTCTACTTTCTGCCCTCTGCATAGAGCGTGACTATTAGATATAATATGTTGGTCTGTCTAATCTTCAAGGATTATGTGATGATTGTGGATGAAGTTCTCGTTTGCGAGTGGAATGGATCCATCGTAATCCACATTTTAATGTCGTAGAGATTAATCGGAAAGCTTTTTAGTACGCGTGACGTGCGAGTCGACCTCTTTTTTTTTAATAATAACAAGGATGAAATCAAATAGTCTGATTTTTTTGGAATAATTTTGTTTCTTGAAGCTTTAGTAAATTTAACAAAACTTGTACCCCGCAACAGAAACGCTGAGAAAGATTGAGCTTGAACCTACTTCTTCTGTTGACTGCATTCCTAGCATAAAATATATCTTATCACAATGATTGCCAAGAACTCAAGTTTTTACTTTTTACAGAAAACTTCTTATCAGCTATCAGTTCTCCAAGCAGTTCGATCGCCGCTAAAATAAAACTTTTGGGCAGTGAAGGATGAACTGCAATAAACACATAATTTTTCAGTCCCTGATTACATTTTCTTCAATATGACGATATCGTTTTAGAATTATCCTATTTACCTCTTTCTTGTTGTTTTTCAACCCTGAGAAGTCGATTCCAATCGACTTGGCCGATTTGGGACGTTATTACATTGATATTTTTTGGTCGATTGAGTCCTTTTAACGATTGTTGCAATTTATTAATCTTTTCTTGAAATTGTCTAAGATCATTCTCCGCAAATTCATCTTCTTCTCGTTGACTACGAATTTCGTTGGTTAAAATATCAAATTGTTTCATGAATGTCTCTTTCTCATTATTCAGTAATTGAGTGAGTTGATCACGAGCTCTATTAGCTGTTCTTTTTACTATTTCCATCGTTGAAGTTTCCCAATGATCAATCGCAGAGAACAAGTCACATGAAGAATCTTTTGACTCTTTCACATGGTTGATTTGTTCGAGCAGCTCATCATGAGCTTTTACAACGTCACGGTCGAATTGAATTGACAACTGTTGACGGTGTTCATTAAAATGCTTGATACAAAAGTATGCATTACATCCTGTGCAATTGCACATTGCTGCATTCTTCTCACATATTGAACATCGATTGGATGACACTCCAGTGGCCATTTTTGTAATCCTCAATAAGCTAATGAGACAAATATGCATAAATAAATAAAAATAAGTGCCACAATAAGGAGATCAAAACCTTTTTCATGTATACAATCTTCATTTAGCTGCTCTATATGCTTTTCGTTTGCCATTCCTTGGCTCTAAAGGTTTTTCGAAATAGCAATGTTCTGTTATGTCGTTCTATTTTAGCATAAAATTTCAGAAAAATAACAGCGTGAAAGGAAACGGCTTAGTTCAAAATTCCAATGCAGATCGGTTAATAAAGATTTTCGAATCAATCTCAAGAATAAGATTCCAAGTCTCTAGAATTAGACATGGGAATAAACAAGAATAATTGAGAATTTGCCATTTAGTGGGAATTAGAGAGCCCTGTTTAGGTGTTAGCATAGTTGAGTAAAGTTCAATTTTGTTCTTTTCTGTAAATTACTAGGGTATGTACAACGATACCATCAATACGGTGGCATACAATCAGTGACTTAGATATCATTTTGTGTGTCACAGAAAGTATGCGTATTGGATGAATGAGCATCTTGTCACACAATATAATGCAGAGTAACTTTTACATAACTCTACATTTTAATTGTGCCTATGAATCATGTTTCCAAAGCATCGCAACGGAACTTCGTTTTGTTCACATATACATCTGTCAAAGAGCGGATAAGACAGCTTTTGGCTGTTTGTTTTTCGCAATCTGTATGAAATTGACGATATATTACATGATCCAATGAGTAGGAGTACTTTTTTTATTGTCCTTTATAGCTTTGCTTCTCGTTATAAGAAAATGGTAACAAATTTTACTTAATGCTATATTATGAAATATATTACTGACCTTCCTATTAATACTCTTGATAAATAGTTTTAACTTATCCGAGGACGTGTCTGTTTGTTCACGCTTTGATTAGTCAAAGTCTGCCAAACAATTATAAGAATGCTTTCGAATGATGGCGCTGTTATCCACTTCACACGACTAGCAAATCAACAATAATGTGTGTATTGACCTTGAGTAGTTGATTACTTGATGTTTCTCAGGGTGTCCTCAGAGAAGTACTTGAAACTGTAATTTAGGAAGCACTGCACTGAAAAGAATTGGTACAATACCGAACCAACAAGAGTACTGTAGACGGAAAAAAGGTTTCGTACATAGTACGGAACCTAAAAAGATTTCGAATTCGTTGCAATTATCCGAACCATTTTAAGTTCGGTACAGACCACTTCGAAAAACTTGAAAAAGTATCCTGAGCCAATAACAATCAATTTCAGGCAGTCGAAGTTTTGCACGAAACCTTTTCAGGCCTTCGTACTGCCTTCTAAAATGGTTCAGCGCACTGGAAAAAAATTGTATGATTACGGAGCCATTTTAGAAGGCAGTACAAAACCCTGAAAAGGTTTCGTGCAAAACTTCGGCTGCCTGAAATTGATTGTTATTGGCTTAGGATACTCTTTCAAGTTTTTCGAAGTGGTCTGTACCGAACTTAAAATGGTTCGGATAATTGCAACGAATTCAAAACCTTTCTAGGCTCCGTACTATGTACGAAACCTTTTTTCCGTCTACAATACTCTTTTTAGGTGTGGATGTGGCTGTGGCTGTTCTCTTTTTGAGCCGCACCCACACCCACATCCTGGTTGAAGATGAATGCCTAGGATAAGTAAGTAATTCCGGTACGGAATTCCGAGAACTCCTTCCAATTCCGGAATTACTCGGAATTCCAACGAATTTCGTGTAACTCCGTCTCGACCCAATTCCCGGAATTCCACACCGGGATTACTTCTCACCCTCACCCTCACGTATGGTGATGTGGTGGAAGATGAATGCCTAGGATAAGTAAGTCATTCCGCTATGGAATTTCGGGAATTGAGTCGAGACGGAATTATAAGGAATTTCTGGGAATTCCTGGAACCTCTTCCCATTCCGTATAGTTCCGAAATTCCGAGTACTACTCAAATTCCGGAGTTGAAAGAAATTTCTGGGGATTGCTGGTAATTCCATCTGAACTCAGTTCCGGGTACTCCGAGAATTGGTAGAACTCGATCGATGTGGAATAGGTCTCTTATGCTGTATGATGATCGAGTTCCTGGAATCAGATGGAACTGATTTCGGTGGCGAAATTGATTCCGCAATGTTGAACATTGCGGAATAGGATGACTGCTCCTTTGAAGCCCCCTCCATCGCCAAAAAATACTTTAGACGAAGTGTTTTTCGGCAAAGAGCATACATTCCTTTGCAATCATTTTTTCTCTATCAAAATACGAAAAAGAAAGTTAACTGGAAGAAAATGATAATAGTTTTTTAATGATGGAATCTGTAGAAGGGCAACAAATAAATTTCTTTTTCCTTCTTTTTTACTTTTATACTTTTCTTTGTTTTGTGAAAAATAAATGATATATTTATCTTTATTTTCTTGTTTATCTTAATGTTTTTCAAAATATATTTTTTCGCTTTCTAAATATAAATATATATTTATATTAAAAATCATTTTTATTCTTTCTTCATGAAGACTAAATTAGAACCATAGCTTAGTCACTTCGAAAAATTAAATCTCGTAACTTACCCAATTTATTTATTTCTTGCTGTTATACTAGTCCACTTGAATTTTGCATGTCTATCAACCAACTATATTACTCCATTAACACGAAATGGAAAAAATTGCTTTGCTTTAGTATATATTCATCACAGAGGCTCGAAGAAAAATATTTGTGGTTCTGATTTTATATTGAATTTTCTCAATTTAATTTACTGAAAAATTGAAAAAATAGTACATGTCAATGTTACTACAGATTATTGTCGATAGTAGAAGCTATAGACCTCAAACTTTGTAGTTATTTAGCAGTAAAGAGATGTAGTAATTTGCCAATTTTTCAAAATTTGTTTCTGTTGAATGCGAGAATGATGAGGTTTAAAATCACTTCATAATTTTTGGAATATCCGATATGTTGAAAGAGAATACTGTATATCCAATTGATTAATAACTCGTTGAAAAATTGGTTTCTTGCTGATCGATTCTTGTTTGAATTTGTATTCCACTATCATCTGTTACACAAATTTTCGAGTTGTTCATTCTATGAATGATTTCACGTGTTTAGAGCACTTAATGTTGCTTAGGAATAGAAACACTTCCATTTCAAACACTATCAATTGTTCTCCTTTCAAAAGTAGACTCAGTTTTCTTCATTTTTGAGTTCAAACTATCTGCATGTATGAATGACTCATGACTGGCCATGCCGTATACAAACCTCATGCTTATCTAATGCGTAAGTCCTAGTTCAATAAACTATTTCTTATAGAAAATCGAAGCATGTAATAAATCTTGTCATTTTATTCATCTGTGACGCAGCATCGACTGTGTCAAACATATGATAGTTTGCAAAGAAAAGAATCTTTTAATTAAATGTATTTATTTTGATATTTATTTATAAGAACATATGAATACAGCTTAATCATAATAGTTTAATTATTTTTTTATTTTTACGAAACACAACATACATAAGATTGATTGAATGTGTATAAAAAAAGAACAAAACAAAGCAAAAAACAGAGAATGATTAGTATGTAAAATGGATCATCATATATCTGACATCCTAAATGATTCTATTAATATAAATGCAGTAATATGTCTGACATTAAATGAAACGAGCTAGTTGACCATAAAATTCCATTAACAATTGAAGAAGTGAAGTCATTGATGGACGTTGATCAATTGAAGTTATCCAACATGCACTCATTAGTTTGAATCTACATACAGAAAAAGAATTCCATTATCATCATTATAATAAATTTAATTCTCGTAATAATATCTTACAAGGAATCGGGACAACTAATTGGTTGTACAAGACGATGATTATTTTGTAGATGTGAAATCAAATTACATGATTCAATATCAGCATAGGGTTGTAAACCACGACTCATCAATTCCCAGAGAAGAACACCATATGACCACTAGTTACAAAGTAAAACAAAATGAATAATAGAATTAAAGACAGCAAGGAAACTTGCCACGTCTGAAGCTGTTGAAAAACGTCGGTCACTGATTGATTCAATAGCCATAAATTTTAATGGACGACTTTCAGTTGGAACATCCATTGGAAGACAATCATAATCTTGTGGAAAAAGATCACGTGACAGAGCATAATCAGTTAGTTTCACCGTTAAATCGTCCATGACTCTACAAAATTCATTCAAACAAAAAAAAATAACTCAAACAAAATTTAAATCATTATTATCATTCTCTTATATACACATTATCCTATTTCATTTTCAATCATCTCAGTTTTAATGAATATGAATTTAGGAATTTCGTCTCAATTTTTGTTCGAGTATAGGGAAATGATCTTGGAAAAGCCCAAAAATTCATATCGAGGGAACTTATGACTGACGCTTTTGACGAATATGTTTGCTCATTTTACCTTGCTGCTTGAAAACATTGCAAACGAACCAAAAACGATAGGTCGTCATCAGAATTTGAATATAGTCTTAGAATTGTTGCGTCTTTTTTAGTTCAAGAGTTGTGAGGAATCTCTTCTAAAGATTTGAAAAATTCTATTTAACAGTGAATCAATAGATTTTCTCGTATCCTATAAGTCCCTTTGCGAACGTGCCAAAAATTGTCAGAATCGGTCGTTGTGTAGAGGAAGTACATATCTATAGAATATGATATTGATTTAAGCCGTATCTTTTACTCAATGAGGCCACAAGCATTTTTTCAAGAACTTCTTTAAAGGTAAGACTGTTTTTGGTTAAAAAGTCAATTTTTCAACACTGAATGTTTAAAGAAAGATGAAAACTAAGGTGTTTTGTCGAAAGACAATAACAGACTTCAATTAGTGCACTTGTTAGAGTAACTTTTGATTTACAAGCTGAAATATAGATAAATATCTCAGCTTGTAATCGTGAACAGCAATAGTGAGAATATTAAAATGTACGGAGAAATTTTCCATCCAAATCAATGTTTGAGCTTGTCAAAGATTGTTTTACTACTCTCGAAAAAAATGAGACGAAATTTCGAACCTCGTAGTCGAAAAGAGCATAAAACTCTGTTGCTAACTTATCAGAAATATTTTCTATCAGATACAGCATGAACAAGCATCCTGTGTGAAAACTTTTCAATGATCCTTTAATACCAAAGTATTAAAATTATTTTTAACAATAATATTAATCTGACATCTCTAAATTGAATGTTTCTAAAGGATGAAGGAAAGTAAAAATTTGAATTGTGTTTCTTGAAAAATTTTTAGTGTCAATACTACATTGAAACACTTGTCTTCATTATTATCTATTACAACGTTTTTTCTTATTAAATGACGTTTTTGAATTATTTACAAAACAAGTTAACATGCTCTGTTGTAGCAATGATAAAAAAAAAATAAAACAAAGTTTTTGTCTTCTTTCAAATAATAGAAATTCAAGTACAAGAAACTTATTCAATGTATTATTATCCATTCATATTATTAGTTAACAATACATGTTTATTTTCTCATTTGTTCTTTCTAATGATAACTAATATCTACTCATTGATAAAACGTATTCAAAAATAAACATCCTAACTATCTATGAATTTCTATAGTGTCATTGTTCTTTCAATATTTTAAGCTTGAAATTACAATGTGACATTTCAATGAGTATCTTGCAACATAGAAATGGCAAAAAGAAAAAAAAAAGTGTCAGTGAGCAAATATGCAGTTCGACTCAACAAAATTACAGCAAACAAAGAAGATAACGTACTTAAAACAAAAATAATGATATCAAAATTCACATTTTATATGTTCTTCTTCAAACAATGTTTTGCTGTTTTCAACTGTCGAAAACATCAAACATCGATACGTAGGCGTTTTAAACTTCCACGCACCAGCTGTGGTGTATTCACTCGCCTTTTTTCACTCGTATTGTTCTATCTTATTTTAGTCCGAACGATGAGAAACAATCACTTTTACGAAGTGGTACCACTCCTATTAACTATCAAACAATATTAACTGTTCCCTATGCTCATGTTATTCGAGATGATAAAATTCCCATTGAATCGTCGAATGTAGTCGAATCAAATGCTGCTCATACTTATTGGCTATTTAATGGCATGATACCTGATCAAGCATATGAAAAACGTATGTATAATACGTATATATATCCATTGCGGACAGTGCTCAATAGAGAATTATTAATTTTATCTTTTTTTTTTCTTTAAAAAAAACAATAGCATGTTTTTCATTCGACGATGTTGATGTTCCAACTCCTGTTGTATTTACAACAAAAACTACAAATGGACATTTTCTATTTGAACGTCTTTTTCAAATTAATCCAGTGAATGCTATTAATTCTTCTGCAGCAATTCGTATGCATCAAATTAATCAGAAAAAATCAGTAACATCAAGTACTGTTTCAATGGCTCGACCATTTGACGAATTTCTTACAAATCCATCAATGCCTAATACTTCTCTTGATGTACAAAGTAATAGTGTAATAACAAAATCGGACACGGATTAAATTAAAATAAAAAGAGAAAAATATAACATTTTAAAATACTTACAAACAATTTCGTGTACCTATATCCTTCATTAACATTTTACGTCTATGTAGAAAATGTAAACCTTTGGCTATATGTATAGCCATATAGACCAATTCTTGTGTTGATAATAGCTGGAACAGGAGAACAATAGAATGTTACTTATGTTTTCTTTTTTTTTCTTCTATTTTTATTAAATACTCACTTGTTCTCGAGCACTTGTTCGATTTTGAATAATAAATCGTTTAAGAATTCCTTTGTTACTATATGGATATACAATTAATGGATATGGTGACAATTCATTCTTGTAGACAATGCCTAATGGACTATTAATAGTTGCATGTTTTAGTGTAGCAAATAAACAACAATCATGTAACATTTGATTGAGTTGTGTTGATGTTGCAAATGAATTTACAGTTTTACCATAGATATTTTGTGTTGACATCTTTGTTGATGAATCATGAAGAGAACAGTGAAACAAACGACCAAATTTACCTAATGAAATCATAAAAATGATAGTTAATATCTGTTTCTGACTAAAGTTTTTTTTCCTGTGTTTTTCAATTAAATGAACAGGTCGAGATTTTTTATACATTTATTTATAGACGAAAAATACATTGTATTTTTAAGCCGTACCAACTAATCCGTTTATGAAATTTTATAAGTCCAAATCCACTTCTATTTATATAGAATTGGCTCTTATCTTTTTTACTGTAAAAAAACCTAAAGAACAAACCGAACGTGAAACAAGTATTAGTTTTAAAATCAATATTTATGCTTTTCATATGACATAGTGCACACAATTTTATGTAGATCTTATGTACAAAAAAAAAACAAAAATATCCAAGTATTTATATTCATACTTCAATTAACGACAAAGCCTCATCGGCATATTATTTGGTAGTAATCTACATAGGGGCCATTTTGGACAAAACGGGACAGAGCCGTTTTTCATTTGATTTTGATTTTTTACAAGGACTATTCTTCTGAATAAGCTCTTGTAGCATCGACAGATAATATGGACCCTTTCAGCTAACTATCAAAAAGTAATTAGCGTATATCTGCCTAATCGTATGAGAAAAAATACGAAAACTTCAGAATAGAGTCTACGACATGAACGCATCTATTTTGAAATTATCAGCTGGATCTGACTCCAAAAAAACAGTTTTCTAGAAATCCTATCAAATCCTGAAACAATAATTTTGATCTTACTATCATCTAGAGATCCTGTTTTATATCACATCACTAATGCCAGGTTCTTTTTACTGATAACTACTCCAAATAAAGATCCCTAGCGATGATTTTTTATAGAGTATCAAGAGTAACTTATCATACATATAAAATATAAAAATTAGCTCTAGACAAGTTCATAATCCTGAGATATACATGTTTTAATTTTGCAAAATCATGTCATTAATGAATGATTTTAATCATGTATTAACAATGCTATTTTTCAAGAGGATAATTCATCTGTTAAACAGATGGAAACTATAACGCTAGTATGTAAAATATCATATGGATAAGATAAATATAGTGTATGAAAATGAATGCACCGAATTATAAGTAAAATGGATAAAAGACAATATTTAATTTCAAATAATAAACAACAATATGTAAAGAAAAAGATTTCCAGCACTAATAAAAAATAAGTTTATTCAGATCTATATAAATAAATGTTATTCATTTTCCCTTAACCATCATTGTATTCCTCATTATTTTTTTAAGATTCTCATCATAACAATGCTTCAAGAAAACTATAATGGCTTTTTCTTTTCTAAGACTAATTTTTTATAATTTATCGTTGGGATATTATTAAGCGGTCAGTAAAATAAATGAAATGGCCAGTAAAATAGATGAAATGATCAGTAAGATAAATGGTCAGTAAAAAATGTATAAATGATCAGTAAAAAGATTAAATGGTCAGTACTTAGATTATCACTCATATAAAAAAAAAGATTGGAAAAAATCTGATTTTAATCGATTTTTTTGTGATTAAAAATCGATTAAAATGGGACAGTTTTAACCAGGTTTTTAATCAAACTAGTGATTAAAATAAATTAAATTTATAAATATCCATTTTAACCGATTAAAATTTTTTCATTGACTATTTTACTCAATTTTAGTCAGATTATTCGATTTTTAATCTATTAAAATCGATTAAAATTTTTAAATCGATTTTAATCAATTCTAATAGTTTTTCTTTTTAAATGAATAAGTACCAATTGATATCGAGTCTTGAAGCATGGAATTTATGTCAAAGGTCGATCTAGCATCATATCTACTAATTTTCCGAGGCAAGGAGTCCGAAAAAGCGATCGAACATCTGAGTTTTCAACATAAAGTTTGAGAAAACGCATTTTACCGTCGCCGCCATTAAAATTAATATTTATAAATTTAATTTATTTTAATCACTGGTTTGATTTAAAAAATCGATTAAAATTAGATTTTTTCCAATCTTTTTTTTATATGAGTGATAGTCTAAGTACTGACCATTCAATCTTTTTACTGATCATTTATATACTTTTTACTGACCATTTATCTTACTGACCATTTCATCTATTTTACTGATCATTTAATTTATTTTACTGACCGCTTAAATAGTAGCCTTTATCGTTGACAATATGATCAGTATGAGCGTCCTTGAAGAAACAATAATTAACAAGAAAAAAAATAAACCAGTATACCTTCCATAATGATTTCATGTAGTATAACATTATGCTGATCAATAGTACAATCAGCAAAAGTTACTGAAGATAAGAGTTCATCAGCTGTTTTCGTAAAATCATATTGAGTACATGAATATAGACTAACATCTTCAAAAGTTGTCATATCAAACGACATGGGTAGCACTGGATGATCTTGATTGTCATGAATCAAACTATAAAAATTCATTCAAAATTATATGTTCATATTCTAAATCAAAAAAAGATATGCACTCATTTGACATTGTCTTCTTTGTTATTGTTATTCGATAAAGACAAAATAAACTTATAGCCGTACAAAATACAATTAAGAAAACAACAAAAGCAATTATTAATGAATAAGCAAATATAGCTGTTATTGTTATTGATGCTAGATCTCTATGTCGAGCTAAATAAAAATGAAAAAAGTTTTCAATAAATTTGTTTTCTTTTGTTGTTTTTTTAAATAAACTTACATTCTTTGATAAGTAAATATTCAATAATTTGATTTGAATTATAAAATTGAGCAAGTAAAGAATGATTAATGGTTTCATCCCGACAATATTTCAAAAATTTCAAATTTATAAACATTGATGTGTGATTTGCTGTTGAATTATACAATCGAAATAATACTGAACAATTAACTCGATTTGTTGTTAAACAAGGAAAGAATATACTAAATGCTATAATTATCAAAGAAATAAAAATAAAAACAAAAACAAAATATTTCTTTTCTTTTTATTCAAATCAATTTAATTCTTACTTGAAGTTTCTCTTGGCACATTTCCTTTTTCAATTATATTTAATACTGGTCGTAATAAAGCTTGTTCATCACTGGAACTTGTATTATATTCATAGTGCAACTTTGACTTTAAATATAAAACATACAAAAACAACTATAACAATACTGATCGTTTATTCGTTGTGAGTTTCGACCATAAAAATAGGAATAAACAATTTGGGCAGTAGCATAGATGAAATGGTCCTTAGTAAGTTAAATAGTTAGAAAACTAATAAATTGAATGATTTATCAGTAGATTAGTTTAATGGTCAGGTACTGATGAATAAGTCTTGTTTATAAATTTAAAGATCAATTAATAAAATTGGCTAACAATCAATTAAACCAAAGGGTAAGTATAGAAATTGAAATGTTTTATAGTGTGATTCACTTGTTTTTCCTTCTTTTCTTTTGTTTTCCTGAACAAAAGGAGTTCACGAGAAATTAAATTCATCCCGCTTTACTTTATGACTTTTCAAGCTACTATGATTTTCACAAATTCTACATTATTTAGTCTCTTTAATTCCTTTTGAGTGTGGGTGAACTCTGGATCTCGTTCTTGTCCACATCTACACCATGTCAGATTTATATTCCCTACTGTTTAAGTTGTAGAAGAGGTGTGAGTATAAAAAACAAAAAGATCGGTGTGGTACATGTTTCTGAATGTGAAAGTAATGTACCAAATGAACAGGTTGTACAAGAGTATGATGAAATGAATGGAAACGCAAGATTTTGCCAAAAAGAAGAAAGTGAAATATTGATTTGACAAAGCTACATTGGATACTATTGATGGAGCAGAAGTATCAATTGGAAATGAATGATCAAAACATTATATGAACTGAGAACAATTTATACCAGACGCATCAAACATAAGTGTCGTGGACTTCAGCGTAGAGCAAGTACTTATCTACTATATGATGCAGACAGTGAAAAAAAAGTTACTCTTTATCAAGTTGAAGGGCGTAAGTGTCAGTAAAACGAAAAATCATTCGAACCCACATCCATAACCAATTTTATACAGATAAACGAGATTCTGCTAATAAAGCCTATATTGTTCACTGGCCAAGCCTGAATTTTTTACTGCTTATTATATACTATAAACTGACCCTTCAATCTTTATACTGATCATTTAAATCAAAGTCCAAAAAACTTAAAGAGTACATAAAAAAAAACAAAGGATAAGTAGATCTTGACGAGTAGAACTAAAGTTTTCATAGACTCAAAGTTCCCAGATTTTGTCTTCTATGAGGTATCGGGATCACAATGATGCAAAATAGTCCTTGCGTTTCTCCGAGCAGCAAATTTCCGTACATGAACTAGACACTGTTTGAGGTGTCTACATTTTGCCTTTTTGCCCTTCGAATAAAAAACACAAAAATATCGAAGATATCCTGAAAAACTCATGATTTTTTGGCAATTCTAACAAAAATTAATTGAATAATATATTTGGAAACGAAGAAAAGTTGTAACTTGATCAGACTTACTAAACCGACGAAAATAGGGTCGTTCCTACACTTTTTCCATGAAAAATTTGATTTGGAAAAAGCGTGAAACAATGTATAGTTTTCACTAATTTGATTTCTTTCCGAATTTTTGAACGCTTAAAGCCAATTTGTGGATACTCAATAGATAAACTAATTTTCTCTAACTATAAGCTAAGATCTATCAAAACCTGCAATTTATGAAATATATTTTATATAACATACTGTATCAAAATTAGCTCTATCTGCATTCCAAGTAAATTCAACAAAATGAATATTAGGAGATATGGATAAAGAAGATTCAAATGCTGATTGTCGAAATTGATTTTTATTAATAAAGTATAATCGATGTTGTTTCACTTCTAAATATGAGATACAAAGAATCTGAATATTATAAATGAAATATTCAAATTTAATATTACCAAATAATTGTTCAACAGAAACTGAATCAAGATATAAATTAAATTGAGCATTAGTAAAATTAATTAATAATATGATTAATAAGAGATTCATTTTGTTCAAAAATTATTCTAATGTATATTACTATAATAAACCGCATGAAACAATATTTTCTTTTCTCATTGGTTTAACAGAATAGAGAGCGCTGTAAATATTTTGAAATCGGATTGGTTAAATATAGGATACAACAAAGACCATCATTTCTTCAATAAATGGATGAAATGATGGATGCATGAAATACAAAATAAATAATTACTATATTTATAAAGTCTATTGAATTTCATATTATGCGTCATAACATCGATATGTTTCGTAATACCATTTCGAGTATTTATGAGTTTTTACCCATTTTGTATTTCAGATGTTTATAATTACAATATAAAAATCTTTTATTAAACAGGCAAAACTTTGTTTCTCTAAATATAATGGGTGTACCGAAATTTTATCGTTGGATATCAGAAAGATATCCAAATATAAGCCGTGTGATTAATGATAATCAGGTATCTATATCTCTATGAATTTGTTTCTATGAAATATTTATTTTGTTTTTATGAAAAGATACCTGATTTTGATAATTTTTATTTGGATATGAATGGAATAATTCATGCATGTTCACATATAAATGAAGATAATTGTGAGATAAATGTGACAGAAGAAGAAATTTTCCGAAATATTTTTCATTATATTGATGTAAGTTTTGATTTTAATTACAAACATAAAACTACGATAAATATATATATACATATTTTTTGAAACGTTAAGTTTTTGTTTCGAATGATAAAACCAAAAAAAGTATTTTTTATGGCTGTTGATGGTGTTGCACCAAGAGCAAAAATGAATCAACAACGTGCAAGACGTTTTCGTGCCGGTCGAGAACGAATTAAAAAATTAGAAACAATTGCAAAAGACTCTGGTCAAACATTAGAGGAAATAGTTACTAAACATTTTGATACTAATTCTATTACACCTGGTACATTATCATATGAAACATATTTGTTTTTCATTTTCTCATACTTCTATTTATTCATATTAAGGAACACCATTCATGGCTCAACTCAATGAACAATTAAAATATTTTATACATATAAAACTCACGACAGATCCATTATGGGAAAATGTAGATGTTCATCTATCTGGTCATTTAGTAGGCATATTTAAATAGATTTTGTTTTTTATTTATTTATTATCTTTGAATTAGACACCGGGTGAAGGTGAACATAAAATTATGGAATATATTCGATATACACGTTCACAACCGGGATATGATGTCAATACAAGACATTGTTTGTATGGACTTGATGCAGATTTGGTGAGGAAATATTCTTTGTTTTGTTGTTTGTACATTAGACTATTGAAAATGAGAATCAAAAACAATAAAAGATTCAATGTTATAAACTAATGCATAACATAATATATAGTACTTCTCACAGATATGCACGAAGGTGGTTACGCTTTAATTATCCCAGCTGTTAAATTCGATTGCGAGGAATTTTTAAAAACACATATGTATCAAAACGCTGAAAATTTAAGAGAATGAATCGAACCATTGACATATACATTCTGTTCGAAAATATCGTTTGTTAAATTTTTAAATTAAAAGGTAACTGCAAATTATCCTAATAAAAAATAGATCTAACTTAAAACTTAGGATTACAGGTTGTAGTCGCTTGTGTTTGTGCAGTACCTGCTGTATCTTGAGTGCTGATACTTAATTGAGTTTCAGAAGATATTCGTAGAGGAAATCATATGAAACTTGGCGAATTTTATCGTGACAAGCATAACGTTTAAATTTATCTTAAACTTGAATGTGCACGAATTTGCCTATAATATAACTTAAAACGGAGATAGACACCCTATCAGCATATATATATATAATGTTCAGTTACATCTTGCCTAATTAAATATTCTTTCGTGATATTTTCAACTTTATGTTGCTGCTCTCAGATTAGTGTTCAGAAATGAAACGCTATTTTTAAGAAATACTATGGAGCAACAACTATGAGGATTTTTTTCTGACATGTCGAATATCTAACTCAAATCCCAATAATGGTTTAAATAGTTAATAGAGTTTGAAAGAGATTCGAATAGTTAGCTTTCAAGTCCCAAAAGACGTTGTAGAAGTTCATCTCTAAGAGTACCATCTGAAAGAGCGAAAGATTCTGAATAATATGAGTGATCACCGCATTTTTGCTGCCTTCCATTAAAAAGTCCTACAATGGTTCTAGGATCTAAAGAGTAATGAAATCGGTTTTATAGAGAACATTTCCATACAACCCAACTTTGAAGCCATGATATATGTAGCACTTCTAATAGTTTTCATAATTTTGAGCAGTATTGTATAAGATTTTGAAAAAACCTAAGCATTAGAAATTTTAATCATGATAGCTATACTATATGATAAAAATTTTTAGATATTAAAACGTTTTCTTTTTTCTTGAATTTTTTATTTCCTAACTCGCCTACTTATTCTTATCGCTTTATCAATAAATGATGATACTCTTGCCATACATGGAAGTAGTAATTGACTAAAAAAACCAATAAACTTTTCTTCTAGATAATAATTGTGTTATTCCTTTTTTTTTGAGCAAGTGACAGTGTATAAAAGAAACTCGATGATTGATCTTTCTTGAGTGAATAGAAAAAGATTTTGCCTTTAACCTCACAATATCAGTCGTCGAAAACAATAAAGTACATATGACTATTTGTCGTAAGATTTCCTAACGAGTTACCTTAAAAACTCAATAGTACATGATATTAAGCTTGATTTATTTTTTAGCTGTTGATTAGTGCTACTTGCCACTGTTGTCGTATTTTTCTAGTTTATAAATAGATAACGCGTGTGAATGATTTCATTATAATAAAGTCTATTATTTATTCTTTAGATTATGCTTGGTTTAGTCACACATGAAATGCATTTTGCACTTTTACGTGAAGAAGTCAAGTATGGTGCAAAGAAAATATCAAAAATGTAAGAGCATTTGTTATCAAATTGATTTATTTTTTATTTACATTCATTCGTTATTAATTAGTCCTGCACCTGAAGAAATCACTTGGCAAATACTGCATACAAGTTTATTACGTGATTATATAGATCTTGAGTTTCGTTCAATAAGAGTAAATCAGTTAAAATTTTTCATACATATTAATAAATTATTTTTATTTTAAGGATAAACTAAAATTTTCTTATAATCTTGAAGGTATTGTCGATGATTGGATACTTATGGGTTATTTAGTTGGAAATGATTTTATTCCACACTTACCACATTTTCATATTAATGAAGAGGCTTTATCAATTCTATGGGATACATATAAAAAGGTTTTACCAACTTTGGATGGTTAGTTAAGTCTTCGATATTAAACTCTGAATTTGTTTATATTTTTTTAAAGGTTATATGAATGAATCTGGTGAATTAAATTTAACACGTTTCGAAATTTATTTAACTGAATTAGCTAAATTTGATCATGAACGATATGCAAATGAAAATGATACATTTAAACATTTAGATAAACTAACAGGACGTAATAAAAACTCATCAAAAAATAAATCTGAAATTAATAAAGATGAAGATAATGATGGTGGTTTTGATTTTAATTTTGCATTACTAGATAAATTAAAGACAACAACACCAACAACAATTCAACAACAAGTTTCTGATAATGAAAATCTTCAGTCAACTATTTCTAATGAATCAACATCAGTTAATTTATCTTTATCATCGTCATCATCAGTATCAGATGATGATGACCTTTCATCAGATTCTGATACCCTTAGTGATAAATCGAATGATGTTGAGAAATCTTCTTCAACAATGTCGGCAATAACAAATGAAGATGAGCTTGATAATATGCCATTGATTGAAGCTGAATTTCGTCAACATAAAAATCATTATTATCGAGATAAAATGAATATTAATTTAACATCATGTGATCAACTTAAAGTTTATGTTGAACAATATATTATAGCATTACAATGGATATTAAAATATTATTATCAAGGCTGTCCATCTTGGTCATGGTTTTATCCCGATCATTATGCACCATATTTATCTGATTTAAAAAATTTTAAAGATTTAAAAATTACATTTCAATTAGGAACACCATTCAAACCATTTGAACAACTTTTAAGTATGCTATCTCTATTTTAAAACATTTAGATTTACTTGAGTTTCTCCTTAGAAAAAGTCCACTTTCGTTAGATTAATGGATATTAAGATAAATATATGCAAGAATAGTTTAAGTTCGAATTTTTCACAAATAATATGATTTTTTAATTTGAAACATTGTTTTTTCTTTCGAAAATTTTTCAATGATATTGGGTCCCTTGTACTTGAAAAATATGCTGTTTTGATTGCACACTCCACATTTCTCACAACAACTTCATGCTATATATTTAACTTTATTTTTGCTTGAAAGAACCTCATAGAGTTCCTCTTTTTTTGATTAAGTTTTGTGTTTAATCATATACTCAAGTACTTCTATAAATAGGTCACCGAGTTTAAAGAGTTTTTTGAGTTATCAAACTTGTTACCCTTTGCCATATAAAAGGAGCTTTAAACAAAATGACATTGGTGGACCTTGCATTTTTACACGCTATTTCAAATAAAAAAAATTCAATATATAAAAACAAGCACACAAAAAATGTCGGTTTACTAAATTAGCTATTTGTTACTCTTGTTGGTTAGATATTTTCCTCAAAAATTATCTTATAGAGCTGAAAATTTCAGATGATTTGAATATACTCGAAACGAAATCGATTTTTAAGATTGACGGAAAGTTTTAATAAATGAGCTAATAAGGAATCAGAGTTTATTTTTAGAGATCATCAAAGGGATACTACAGTTATCTAGACCTATTTTCCATAATGGAGCATCAGGAATGAGTTCACCCACCTATAAAAGTTGCATTTTTAATGAAGAAATTATAGAAAAAAAGATTAAAGGGATATCTATGATTAAACTTTTAGATCTTAATATGATGAAGCATGTTTTATGTAAAATATACGCAAGAAATTGTCCATATTTATCGCAGAGACTAATCATCATATATCGTCTTAT